CCCCAAAACCCCAAAACCCCAAAACCCCTATTTTGGCTCTAGATATAGATTTAATTAATAAAAATTCATATTCAAAATAAAGATGATGACTCCAATCTCAAATGAAATCACTGTAAACAAGTACAACCATCGAGAACGCAAGGGGAGACAAGAGTCGGCTAATTTTAATGAAAAATGAAAAGAAATTGCCTTAGCCTCAAACTGATCTTCTTCTCAGGCAAAAAATGCTAGAAATCATAAAGAGAATGAACAATTCTTTCGGCCTGGCAAGTATTCACAGCTAAATAACTCAACCAGATCATCAAAAAGGGAAAATGATAAATAAGAAAAATATCTTGAGCAGGAAGTCTGCAGCAAGAGCCTTTCTAAATAAAGGTATTAAAAATCGTAGAGCCATGTCAACTACTTCCCAAGAGAATGGAATTATCGGCAATTTTAAAACTCCTGTGCCTAATAAGCCTGAGTTTTTCAGCGGGTCAGTGAGGCTACCTTTTATTGCAAGCGGGGCATCCCCTGTTTGCAGCAGCACAAAAGAGATTTCGTTGCCTCAAGGAGCCACTCATCAGTATCCTTCCTCTAAGATCTCAAGTTATGCTGTTGGTATTGGAAAAACTACTTCAACCAGTCACCTCAAAGCAACTGTCAGTGGAGGGACCTTTACCCTTACAGGAGGAATGAACCAGGATAAACAGAAAAGAATTGAGTACAAACTCTCGCCTTCTGGAGGGATTTCTCAAGTTGCATCCACAAGAGTTAGTCAAGAAAGAGAGCCCCTTTCAAAGCCTTTCCATCATAAATTCAGGCAAAAAGTAATATAAGCCCTGCATCAACAAAGAGTTTAGTCAAGAATCCAGCCAAGAACAGATTTCCTTTGCCATTCACTGGGATTGAGTACCCATTCATTGATGGAGGAGGTATCACTTCATACGGAAGAGACGGTATTTTCTCTGAAAAGAAGCCCTATATAAAAACCTCAAATGATTTTGAAAAATCTTGGATCTATTCAATGCCTGATAAATCAATCTGAACCCCAACACAAAGACCAATCTATAAGAAGAAATCAAAAATTGATGCAAAAAGGGAACAGGTGGTGTATGATTGCTCAAATCCCTCTCCATTCTACACAGATTCATACCAAGCAACCCAGAACACCATGATTGACCTCAATAGAGAATATGTGCCGATGAATGAGCGTGACTTAATCGAACAAAAGACAAAAACATCTGGTCCAAAATTGGTCAAAGATTTATATTACCGTAATCTTCTTCCCTATTACGCTAAGGAAAATGAAGCTGACAATACACTTATATTCGAAAGCAGGTTTGAGAGTGGGAACCTCCAAACTGCTATCAAATAAGTCTTCCTACGAATACGAGCTTCTGCTTAAAACAGACTATAACACTACTAACTACACTCAATGGTTTTATTTTAAAGTAACAAACATGAAAAGGTGCGTGCCTTATACTTTTAAAATAGTAAACATGGTCAAACCTAGCTCTCTTTACAGTCAGGGGATGAAGGTTCTCAGCTATAGCGTGAAATCATCTGAGATATCTTACCAAGGCTGGCAAAGAGTTGGGAAGAACATTTCATATACCCAGAATACGTATAAAAAGAAAGGTGGTGGGAAATATTACACTCTTTCGTTCACAACAAATTTTGATTATGACAATGACTGAGTGTACTTTGCACATTGATTCCCTTATACTTATACGGACTTGAAGTACTTTCTTCATGATGTCTGTACAGAGAAGATGAGAGGGAAGATCAGGAAGACCTTTCTCTCTCGGACTCTCGCCGGGAATGAATTCGAAGGAGTCATCATCACTAACTTCACCTCTGCTCCTGAAGACATTGCCGAGAGGCAATGAATCATTATCACTGGTAGAGTTCACCCTGGTGAGAGTAACTCAAGCTTCATCGTTGAAGGAATGATAAAATTCTTAGTAACCGATGATCATGTTGCCAAAAGTCTTAGAAATATGTTTGTCTTCAAAATCGTTCCGATGCTCAACCCTGATGGAGTAATTGTTGGAAATTATCGCTGCTCTTTAGCAGGCTGTGATTTAAACCGTCAGTGGAAAAATCCTTCGGCAAGACTACACCCAGAAATTCACGCAGTGAAGCAAATGTTTAACAAAACTCTTCAATGAAGAAGTGTTTTCCTTTACGTTGATTGCCATGGACATTCTCGGAAATAAAAATTGCTTTATGTATGGTTGCAATAATAAATCTGCCACAGGGTATAACAAATATAAGGAGAAAATCATCCCTTTCATGTTTGGAAATAATCATGATTCGTTTTCATTCAAAGATTGTAATTTTGTGGTACAGAAAGCTCGAGAAGGAACTGCCAGATATGTTGTCCATGACAATTATAATATTATTAACAGTTATACTCTAGAGGCATCTTTCTTTGGACCTGAAAAAGGAATTTACCAAGACTGCCATTTCACTCCTACTCAATATAATGATATAGGAAAGAAATTTTGATTCACCCTACTAGATTACTGAGCGATCACAGATGATCCTCAAAAGGACCTTAACGACAAACGAGGGGCAACTCTAGCCCTCAAGAACACCCTTCAAAATCTCGATAAATACTTCTCCAAAGGCAAAGGGACATCTAATTCCTACCTAAAATTCATGTCCAAGGGTGACGAGAGTGATAGTGCCGATGACGACGCCGACGCCGATGCTAACTCCCCCTCTCCATGCCCTTCTCCCTCTCTCTCCCCACCTCTACCCTCCCCTTCAGCTCCAAACCCAACCAAGCCACTGCCAAAATCCCTTCCTAAAAACCCAAAATCCCGAAGAACCAAGGCTAAATCCATAACACTTCGTAAGTCCAGGACCAAAAACAGACAACATACAGTGAAGATAAGCGGGAAGAATCTTAGAAGTACAGGGCAGAACTGGAAAAATAAGAGGCCGAAGGGAAAGCAGAGGAATAAGAGTATTAGGTAGAATTTATAGTTCAATTTTTGAAATTGGAAAGGGGTTTTGGGGTTTTGGGGTTTTGGGGTTTTGGGG